CCCCTGCTGCTGCTCTGCGTCTTCGGGGCGCCGCGAGCCGGATCAGGAGCCCGTGAGTACCCTGCGCCCCGCTCCTCCTCTCCTGCCAGAGTGGAGAGCGGGCGCCCCGGGGGCAGCCGAGGGGGGAGGGGGCGCGGGCGCCACCTGGATGGCCCGGGAACAAAGAAAGGCGCCCCCGGCGCGGCCCTCGGGGCGCCCTCACCTGCGGGGCGCACGGAGCCACCGTGCTCTGGTCTGAGGGTTCGGCTTCAGCGGCCGAGGCCTTCTTACCTGAGCAGCCTGGCCGAAGGAGGCTGACCAGGCCCCTCGGGGGGCAGAGGACCACGGCCTGAGACCCTCTACAAGCCGGGACGTAGCGGGCGCACGCGTCCGCTTCAGTGGACTGGGAGCCGTGGAGACCGTGGGGCACCGCTCCCAGACGGGGGCGCACGCGGTTGGCGCTCTGGGTGCGGGCCCCCAGCGGCCCCCCCATCCCCAGGCGGAGGGATGAGTCCCGCGGGGAGGGCGGGGCTGGAAGGGGGCCGCTTTGGCCGCCTGGCTCGGGGCCCGAGGTCCCTGGGGACGTGTCTTTCCACCGACTGGCGCCTCCCTCTCCCTGCAAAGCCCCGCACTTCGGGGTCCGCGGTGTCCCCGCCACCGGCAGTGCTCAGAACTGTTCTCGGCCAGGGTGTGCCAGACTCAGTGTCTTAAGCGAGAAAAATCTTTTTGTGAGCTAGTGGGTAAGAGAGAGAAGAAGAGGGGCCAGTGAGTCCGGCACCATTGGCCCAGACGTGGAGGGGGGAATCCACTGGGAAGTCGCTGCCCAGCAGGCCAAGACTTCCACCCTTTGGTGAGCTCCTGGGCTCAGGCACTCTCCAAGCCCCCCAAGCACACCTCCGCCAGGATACAGTCTCCACTTCCAGTCCCGCTCTGGGACACACCCAAAGAGACACAAAGACTCACACTGGCTTGTGGCCCGTCACCCTCACCCTCAGACTCTGTGCACATTGCATCCCAGATGCACATTCGCACACCATCGCGGGCACGCACACACACACATTCCATCCCTGACACACACACATTTGTGGTCACACACTCATTCCACAGGGGAGGCAACACAGGGGCACACATGCAGGCACAGCCTGCCTGGGACATTCACCACAATTCCATGCACCCTGTCCTGTCTAGGCGCAAGAGAGAGAGGCAGTTGGCGGAGCACAATGCTCCTGGGCAGACTCACACTGTGCTGAGTTGTTTGCAGGCTCAATGGGGGAGAATGAGCTCCTCTGAGAAAGTCAGGGTCTGGACACCCTTTGGGTGCTGAAAACCCATCTTGCCCAAAGCACCTGGGCAGGTGAGGGGCTATGCCTGGTCCCTCCCCCAGGGTACCTAATGGCTCTTCCAAGCGGTGAGCAGTCCTGTGAGTGCCACCAGGAGCCCCAAGCTTTGTTTCTTAGCTCTAGAGCAGAAGGTGTGGGGAGGGGAGGTGTGTGCGTGTGTTTTTTCCTTTAAGGGGGAAGAAATTAAATAAAAGATTCTCACACCTCGACAATATGTTTCTACTTACGGTGTGTCTTAGCACCTGACCAGCTTGCTGGTGGGTCGTAAAGTGTCTACAGGTACCAGTGGGACAGGAGATGGGGACCCCCCGTGGGGACCCTGGGATGGAGGCCACCCTTCCGCCCTGCTTGCCGAGAATCTCACACTTTTCCCTTTTAAAACACATGGTGTTCCTTTTTTAATAACGGCAGTGGCTCCAGATTGGGAAAGGGAGGAAAAAAACTTTTAAAGGCCCCAAGTCCAATCTAGGGATTCTGCTCTGGGGAGCCCTTTTAACCAGGCCAACCCCCTCAACCCAAGGCACAGTGAGCTGTTCCCAGCTGTTCCTCCCCAGGCCTGGAATGTGTGCTCCCCTGTCTCCAGCACCTTGGCCCACTGTCTGGAGGGAATGCGGAGTGGTCTGGCTCCCGGACCCCAGAGCTGAGAGAGGTTGTAATCCCAGCAGTTCCTAAGTAAAATGGGGTGCTGGGCCTCATTAATTTCCCCAGCAGGTAGAACATATTTCTTCTCCCATTTTATGGAGTAGAAAACTGAGATTTGGAGAGGACTGCCCAGGTGCTTCAGCTGGGGTTGCAACCACATCCCAAGAAGAGAAAGCTGTGACTTTTACTGGTGGGTCTTAGGGGTAGGGGACTGGCCTGTCCAGGCTGGTGTGGCCTTGTCTCTCCACCCTCCTCCCCTCCTCCCCCAGCCAGAGAAGGCAGCTGCAGCTGCTGGCAAGCGGGCTAGGCTGGCCCAGGCCAGGCGGGTGTGGCAGAGGGGCAGTGCCCCCCAGCCAGGACCCCCCAGAGAGCCCCTTCCTGGCCAGGCCTGTGGTGGCTGCTGGAGGGCAGGAGGGGCGTGACCCACCAGGGAAGGGCCTGGGGTTCAGGCAGGCCTGGCCATGCCTTCCACTCTGCTGGGGGGGGGGGCAGGCAGGAAGCAGTGGGTGGGCCTGGGCAGAGACGCTGGCACACCCGAGTTCATGCTGAAGGAATTCCGAGTTAGCGGCAGGCGGCTGGCTGCCTAGGACCTCCAGGGCGGCCCCCTGGTCCCCCGCCCCCCTGGCCGCCCCCGCCTCCTCAGCTCTGGCCGGCTTAGCTGGTTCCTTCGCACGGACGCGGAGACCTCCGGCGAACCCTGGGCCAAGCCCCAAGTGCAACTGTGATCCCAGCCTCCACCAGTACAGCCCTAGAGCCAAGTTTGCCCCAGAAAATCGTTATGGCTGAGCCCAAGAACCATATCCACCCCAATCCTCCCATCTGAGGCAGTGAAGGCCAGTGCAGGGCAGCCACTGGCATTGGGGGCCTCCCTAGGGAGGCAGGGTTGCCCTGTCCTTGGTTGCTATCTCTACCCCTGCCCTCTAACAGACATTTTTCACAAACACTTCTCACAGCAGTTTGAAGTCCTTTTAAATGCAAATATAACCGTCTTCCACTGCTCAAAACAACCCCTCCTTGTAGGTGGGGGAGTGTTCCTGCTGACCTCCCAGAGCTCATTTCCTACCACTCCTGCCCCAGGACCTTTGCACTGCTGCTGCCATTGCCATTGCTTGGACACTCCCTCCTAGATACTTTCACAGGTCTCAGGAGAAATGTCACCTCCAAGACAGCTTTTCTGGCTGAGTTGCTGCCACTATTCCATCTCCCTCTGGCTCCTGCTTTATTGTCTCCTTATTTATATTTATTTGTTATTTTTTCCTGCTGCTTCCTTGGATTTAAGGTCTGGAAGAGCAGGAATTTTTGTGTTTGGGTCATCACTGGGATGTCCACAGATTCTGGCACACTGTAGGTGTTCTGTGAATGAATGAATGAACAAATGAATGGGTGAGTCCTCACAACCACTCTGGTTGGAAGGAGAGGCCTCTTCCCAGAGGCTCACAAAAGTAAAGCCACTGGGTCAAGCTTCCACAGTGAGCTGGGGTCTTTCAAACCCAGGTTAGCCTGGTTTAAAGATACCACAAAAGGGTGGCGCCTGTGGCTCAAAGAAGTAGGACACCGGGCCCATATGCTGGAGGTGGCAGGTTCAAATCCAGCCCCGGCCAAAAACAAACAAGAAAACCCAAAACAACAACAACAAAAAGATACCACAAGATTGTCCTTGGACAGTATTTCCACTCCCCTCATCCTAAAACAATCCATGTGCTTGATGCTATGATGCCAACTTCCTAGATGGAGAAACTGAGACTGAGGAGTCAAGAGCTTAGATTGTATATCCTTTTCTCCCTTTCTCCAGAAGAAGGAATCCTGGGCTGCCCTGATAGTTACAGGAAAGGAGGCACCAACAAAAGCCATTCCCAAGGCCCCTGTACCCAGGATCCAACTTGCACACAACCCAGTCATGGAAGTCTCTAACCATCTGACATTTCCAGTAGCCCAAGAGACAAAGAACTTTCCCATTCTCACTGTACGGATTAGCAAAACTGAGTCTTGGGAAAGAGCAATGACGTGAAGACCCTTTAGATGGAAGTTGGGGCTTCCAACTGCCTTCAGTTCCAGTGGCAGTTCAGAGTACAACTTTAGATACCAACAAATCTGGGCATAAATAGTTTGCCCTTCCCAAGGGAACTTGATCTTTCAAAGCCTCAGTTTTTTAATCCATAAAATGAGCAGGGTTCAATGAGAAAATGTAGGCAAAGTCTTAGCCCAGGAAGAACTCACAATTTTTTGTTTCTGATCACCAAAAAACAAAAAAAAAAAGAAAAAGAAAAAAAAATAGAGTATGTTGTTTGTGAGAACTCTGTGCAAATCAAGAGTCAACCTGGATCTGAATGGGTATTTATGCCTGAGTTTTGTGACCACTCTAAGAACTTAGAGCAAGTCAGGAATGACGTGGCTTGGAAGGATCTGAGTTATAGAGTCAGAGAGATCTGGGCTTGATCATGCTTTGCCACCAGCTTTGGACTGGGTATCTGACCTAACAGGCCCTCAGTTTCCTTATCTGTAAAATGGGGGACCATGATAAACCATTCCTTCTCAGGACTGCTGTGAGCCCTGGAGGTCCTGGCATGGTGGGGGGCTCAGCATGGCCCCACTCCAGGCCTAACAGGTCTTCCTCTTTGACCCCAGACACAGCTGTGATCAGCCCCCAGGATCCCACACTCCTCATCGGCTCTTCCTTAAAGGCCACATGCTCAGTGCTCGGGGACCCACCAGGGGCGACCGCCGAGGGTCTTTACTGGACTCTCAACGGGCGCCGCCTGGCCCCTGAGCTCTCCCGTGTGCTCAATGCCTCCACCCTAGCCCTCGCCCTCGTCAACCTCAATGGATCCAGGCAGCAGTCAGGGGACAACCTTGTGTGCCATGCCCGTGACGGTAGCATCTTGGCTGGCTCCTGTCTCTATGTTGGCTGTAAGTGGACCCCTAGGAGTGGCTGTTGGGAGCAGCATCTCCCTCTGCAGAGGGGCATGAATCTTGAGCCCTGTGGCCTGGGGCTGAGCAATGGGCACATTGACACAGCTATATGGGTCTCTGGGGTGAGAATGAGAGCTTGGATGAGCTGGAGTCTCAGCTCCCAGAGGCTTTACCATCCTCAAGAGAGCTCATTCAAGTGGCTGCTCACATCTCTGAGGATTGAGACTGCCCTTAACTCCCCCAGTGTAGGGACCTCTCTGCAGAGAGAGGTCCAGCATAGCTTGGTCCAGCCCCTCAGCCTCTGCCCCCTTCCCCTTTCCCAGTGCCCCCTGAGAAACCCTTTAACATCAGCTGTTGGTCCAAGAACATGAAGGACTTGACCTGCCGCTGGTCACCTGGGGCCCACGGGGAGACCTTCCTTCACACCAACTACTCCCTCAAGTACAAGCTGAGGTGGGTGGTGGCCCCAGAGCAATCTGGTCTCGTGCTGACTATGTGACCTTGATTAATGCTGGTCCTCTCTAAGCCCCCATCTCTCGCTCTACCCTGGGGCTGCCATGGTGAGGTCTAGGGGCCAAAAGGGACCCTCATGTGTCCTGAACCCCCTCTGCTCCCTGCAGGTGGTATGGGCAGGACAACACATGTGAGGAGTACCACACAGTGGGGCCTCACTCCTGCCACATCCCCAAGGACCTGGCCCTCTTTACACCCTATGAGATCTGGGTGGAGGCCACTAACCGCCTGGGCTCAGCGCGCTCTGATGTGCTTACACTGGACATTTTGGATGTGGGTGAGCCTCTGAGGGTATCCCAAAGGGCCCCCTGCATCTTGTCTGTTTTTCTGGGGTCCCACCTGCCCTCCTGGGAAGCCGGCTGCCACTCCAGGTCTGGCTTTGCCGGCTAGCCCAGTTTGGCCCTGTTGGTTGGCTGGTGACATAGATTAGCTGGGCATCCATCCACTCATGAGTCTGTGGCCCTCTAAAACAGCCAAGATGCCCCCACTTTGTGGAGAACACCTGGCCTGGCTGCCTCCCCCTCAGCAGCCCAGGTGTACTGGAGAGGGCCCTGGGGAGCAGAAAGGGGGGCGCCCAGGTTGGGAGGCATCCCTGGAAGCTGGGAGGCGCCCCAGGAAGCTGAGGCCTGGAGCTGGGAGGGGGTTGGTTATAGGCTGGAGGCAGGAAATGGATGATCTGCAAGCAGAATTGGGCCTAATCTAATTAGGGTGTTTCTCAGCCCCAAGCAGGCCTGTGCCTTAACCCTTTCAGCCCCTCACCAAGGCCTCAGGGGAAAAAGCTGCCTGTCTTGCTGCCCAGGAGCCCTCAGAAACATCCCAGCTCCCCTACATTGTACCCCTGTACCCCTCTTCTTCACACCCTAAAGCTGCCATGGGCAAGTTCTAAGCTTCAGTTGTCCCCTTGCATCCAGCAGTTTCACATCAAAGATTTTGGTAAAGTGGGAATGAGCTGGGGTTTGGGGTTGGCAGGGGGCAGGAGGAGGTGCTTCTTAGAGGGCTGGTTGGGCATGATAATAATATCATCAGCCAGGCAGTGTTTGCTTTCACATATTCTCTTGAAGATGGGATTATGTTTCTCCCATCACAGATATAATGTGATAACAGTTAATAGTGATTGAGTGCTTAGTGCTGAGTGTACCTCAAATATTATTTCATGTAATCCAACAGTCCTAGGGGTAGAAGCTGATGAAGGAGGGAAAAAGAGGCAGGTGCCACCTAAGCCACATGTGCTGCACCATGCTACTAGGGGATCGAACCTGGGCACTCAAGATCCCAGCCAGGTCTAAGGAGACACCCCCACCCCCACCCAGTGACCAGACTCCACTCCGCCCCACAGTGACCACGGACCCCCCTCCTGATGTGCACGTGAGCCGCGTCGGGGGCCTGGAGGACCAGCTGAGTGTTCGCTGGGTCTCGCCACCCGCCCTCAAGGATTTCCTCTTTCAAGCCAAGTACCAGATCCGCTATCGTGTGGAGGACAGTGTGGACTGGAAGGTGCCCGCCCCTTCCCCAGCCCTGGTCCTGCCCATGGCCCTGCTCTCTGACCCTCCCCTATCTGCCCAGGTGGTAGACGATGTGAGCAACCAGACCTCCTGCCGCCTGGCTGGTCTGAAACCAGGTACTGTCTACTTTGTGCAAGTGCGCTGCAACCCCTTCGGCATCTATGGCTCCAAGAAAGCTGGAATCTGGAGTGAGTGGAGCCACCCAACGGCTGCATCCACCCCCCGTAGTGGTGAGCACCCCAACAGGGCTGGGCAGTCCAGGGGCCAGCCCCAAACTAGCCTGAGCCTCTGTTTCCTTGTTTTCTCCAAGAGAGGAGAGGTCTAGAACTGGTGGCCTCTAGGGCCAAATGTGGCCCCTGGATCTACTTCCTTTAGCCTGTCATTTGAAAAGAAAAGGTTTGACCTACTTGCAGAAAATTAGAAACAGAAAGTTTTTATACAAATGCCCTAGATCCCTTAGAAAAATTAATTATCTAAAAAATGTAACAAGATGTAGCCTGCGGGCCTTACTGCCAGAGGCTACCCCTTTCAAGATCCCTCACTTTCCATTGTCCCTTTCCTCTTTCTCTCATCATTGTCTTTTTTTCCCTTTCCTTTGCAGCCCCCAGCTCTGTTACTGTCTGTGTCTCACCCCCCTAGCCCCCCCACCTGGCCTGCTTTGCTCCCTTAATCTCCCTCCTCAGCCTCTGAGAGTAGGTTTGAGAACCCTGCTTCCTAGGATGATGGGCTGCTAGCTCTCTCTCTGCAGGACTCAGTTTCCTCTTCTGATCAAGGTAGGAGTTGGGAATGGGGTTTCTCTGACCCTACAGATTTCCATTCCTTTCCTTTGTGAAATGAAATGAACTCTTTACTTGGATTATCTGGCCTCAGTTTCCCCATCTGGAAAGTCAGGACAAAAATCACACCTGCCTCAGGTTGTTGTGAGTGTTGGATGACATCATTAGTGACAAGTGCCCACATAGTGGGTGCACCTGACTTTCTCAGGCAGTACCCTTCTTCACTACCTCCACGCCATAGTTTCACTGCAATAGAGGCCCCTTTTGCTCAGGTGAGGGACCCTGGAACCTCAACAGGTCACAAAGGGATCTGAACTCAGTTCAGTGGAAGTCTAAGCCCAAGCCCATGGGATAATGGGGTAACTGAAGCCCAGAGAGGGTCTCAGAGCCAGGGAGGGGTACAGCCAGGCTCCAGCCAGCTCTCCAGTCCCTATCCAGGGCCCCTCCAGGTTCAGGGGTGGGCGGGAGTGAGAACAGCTGGGCGGGGCCTAAGCCTTGGCCCCTGATCGTGCCCAGCACCTGCGATTCTTGCACAGGAGCCAGCAGGCGGCTGCATCCACCAGGGAGGATAGTGAGGCCAGGGGAGGCCGGCAGGGGCGGCGGGGGCCGAGCTGTGCCAGGGCCTGTCAGCGGGTCCCTAGCTTTATTTATGACGTGAGGCCGATGTCCTTATCCGCCGGCCTGCTTGGGGCTGGCTGGAGCGGCAGCTGGGCCAACAGGCAGGCCTCCCACCTGGCCCTCTGGGTCCACTCCCTGTCCTCCCCCAGCTTATGCTCTCAGGCCCAGCCTGGGGACTATCTCCTGGGATCATCTTGCACTCTGTCTCTCTCCATCTCTCTGTCACTCTTCCCATTTTTCTCTTTTTTGGTCTCTTTGGCCCTATGTCTCCAGGGTCTGTCTCACCCTGCTCAGGCCTTTCTACATCTGTGGTCCCTCTGATCTCCTAAGCAGTCTCCCTTTGCTTTCGCCTTCTCTGCATTTCTCTGTCTCTCCCTGTCTCCATCTCTGTCTCTGCCTCTCTCTCATCACTGTCTCTTTTCCCTTTCTTTCCTTTGCAGCCCCCAGCTTTGTCTGTCACTGTCTTACCCCTCCAGCCCTGGCCTCTCTCCTCCTCTCTTCCCCCTTTCCAAGCACACCTGGCCCAGGCTACAGGAATCGGATTCCTAGAGGAGTTGTAGAAAAGAAACCCTTTCCTTCCCCGGCCCCCCACCACCCTAGGGGTGCAACTGGGCGGCTGTGTAGGGCCGCGGGGAGGACTGGGTCCTGGAGAAACTGGGCCGGAGGTGCCTGAGGGGAACGTGGTCCCGCCACTCTGGGGCCCTCCCGCCTCGGCCGGTGCGCGCCCCCTGCCGGGTGTACCCTGACATTGCCGCCCCGCCCACTACCAGAGCGCCCGGGCCCGGGCGGCGGGGCGTGCGAGCCGCGGGGCGGCGAACCGAGCTCGGGGCCGGTGCGGCGCGAGCTCAAGCAGTTCCTGGGCTGGCTCAAGAAGCACGCATACTGCTCGAACCTCAGCTTCCGTCTCTATGACCAGTGGCGAGCCTGGATGCAGAAGTCGCACAAGACCCGCAACCAGGTAGGAAGGAGGGACCTGCGGACGTCGGGGTGGGTGGCTGGAGGAAATTGGGTGGGGACCGGGAGTTGGGGGTGCAAGCAACGGAGAGGGAGGAAAGAAGGCTGTGTAGATATCCCCCACATATCTCCTCATTTCTTCCAAGCACAGGACGAGGGGATCCTGCCCTCGGGCAGACGGAGCACGGCGAGAGGTAAAGTGCCTCAGGCCAGGGTGGGGAGGTGGGCAGGGAGCAAGATGAGGGCCCCTTCCACTGGCTGCAGGCCTCGTGCCCCACTGACCAACCTTAGAGTCGCTAAAATGCAGTCCCGTCTCCTGTTTATATTCATCAACATTTACTTGGCACTTACTCTTTGTCTGACTTGGTAGCCTTTAGCCACCCTAAGAGCTTCCAATCCCCTGAAAGTGACAGTGGAATCTCATCCTCAGGACTAGATAAACATACTCACCCTAATTTGCATGTATGAGCACCTACTATCTACTAGCCCTATGTCAAGTACTTTTATCTGCAGAACACCCCATGGGATGGTCAGATAGTCTCACTTCTCAGATGGGGAAGCCAAGGCCCAGAGAGGGCAGTATCCTATCCAAGATAGGACAGGACCTGAGCTGGGGCTTCTTCAATGGCTCAGTGGTGCTGACACCTCCCAGGCTCCCTGCTTAGCTTGGCTTTCCCTCTGCCTACAGGTCCTGCCAGATAAGCTTTAGGCCACCTTCCCTGCCACGTGGATGGAACCCAAACTGGGGCTCTGTACCCTCACTCCAGGGGTGCCTGAGCACCCTCAGCAGGAGCTGGGGCATAACAGCTCTGAGCCCCACGTGAGGCCACCCCTGGATGCACCCTAGTGTGTGTGGTGGGGTGTGCGTGAGAGTTGGTTGAGCAGTCCAGAACCCTTGCTCGGGCTGGGGGTGAAAAGGAGTCATTACTCCCCCAACCAAGGGTCCCTCTAAAAGAGTCTTTTAAAATAAAATGAGCTATTTAGGTGCTCTGATCGTGAAGGTGAGTTTGGGGCTGGATCTACCTGGAGCGAGAGCCGTGAGGCTTGGGGGATGCATGAGGCATCCTAATAACCTTTTGGGATTGGAGTCTCTGGCTCCCAAGATTTTAGACTCTCTTTCCAGGATTGTTCGTGACTGGTTCTGAATTCCTTGGAAGGAGTGATTTAAAAAATCAGAGTTTTGGTGAGGGTGGGACTCTCCCATGCAGCATCATCCCTGGCTCTTTGGTCCCCCCGTCCCCACACACTGGTCTGCTAGCACCCCAGGACACAAAGATGGTGGAACAGCTGTAGAGGACAAGTTCTTTATTGTGGGAGGTATGTGAACTGGAGGAAGGTCGCCAGTCCAGTAGGGCATGACCCTGGCCAGCAGGTGGTCAGGGCTGGTCTAAGCACCATTCACCCAATTTCCTATCTCCTGCTGGTGCATCCTTGGGGAACCACCATTATTCAGCAGATTCCGCGTCAAACCTAAGGTCCTGAAGAACTTCGCTGATTGCCTCCATGGTTTTAATTACCCTAGAAGAGCGGATGAGAACTATAAATAAAGCTACTCGGAGGCTGAGGCAAGTGAATCATCACATAAGCCCAAGAGCTGGAGGTTGCTGTGAGCTGTGACATCACAGCACTCTACCAAGGGAACAACCCAGATGGGGCAAGTTAGCCCTGCCATGCAGCTCTGAGGGGGTGCATGGACCACAGGCTCTCCTGCCTGCTGTCAAAGTGCCACAAAGCACTAGCAGCAGGATCGACCATTTGGGTGCTTAGGAGAAGCAGTGGCTCCGTGAGGGTTGAATGAAAAGGCCATCTTAGTGGAGTGTGTGCCATCAGGAGGTTATGAAATGTAAATATAACACAAGTTGAGAGTATGTGTGCTTGAGGGTATAGGTCAGGAATGTGTAGGCCTGTCACCAGTGAGGCATGGGTGACCATGTCCTAACACAGTCATGTCCCAGCAATTTTTGATGTGAGATCACAAAGCTATCCCCTCTGGGGAATATGTATGTTTATGGGCCACCAGATGAGGGTGCCTTAAGGATTGTATGCAAGCCCATAGAGTTTGCTCTGCTAGCCTGGTCTGACCTTGCTAGTTCTGGGGCAAAGCAGGCTGGGGCAAGTGCCTGAGGGTGCACATGCAAATTTTAGCATGTCCCAGCAGCTGGCAGCAGTGCTCACTTCATCTTCAGCTGGTGTGTCTGTACAATGTCCTCCTGCCCTGTCAGCTCAGGCGTCCCCATCAGCTGCAGCAGAGCGACCTGGTGGGGAAATGGGCAACCCAGACATTGTCAAAATTGAAAGAAGCCACTCATGCCCTCCCATAGTGTTCAGGAAGGAAAAGGCATTAAGGCACCAAGGCAGTAAAGGAGTAGAGCTACAGCCAACGCGGTGGCTCACGCCTGTAATCCTAACACTCTGGGAGGCTGAAGCAGGCAGATTGCTTTCATCTCAGGAGTTCCAGACTACCCTGAGCAAGACAGAGAGCCTGTCTCTACTAAACATAGGGAAAACAGCTGGGGGTCCTGGTGGGCACCTGTAGTCCCAGCTACTCCAGAGGCTGAGGCAAGAGATCACTTGAGCCTGAGTTTGAGGTTGCTGTGAGCTATGACATCACAGCATTCTACCCCCAGTTAGTGAGACTGTCTCAAAGCAAAAGCAGCAGTAGAGCCATGAGGGGCGGAGCTTCGTGCAGGAGGAGTTTGGAATTCAGTTTAGAGGGTCTCTCGCGGAAGGGAGGGGTCGACTCAACGGACCAGAGTTGGGTGTGCTGCTTGATGTAGGCGTGGCCTGGAAAAGGTAGTGAAGGTTCTACAGTGGAACTACAGCAGGGTGGGGTAGGCGGAGCTTCAAAGTCTCAAGGATAGGGCAAGATATTGTAACCTGGGTGTAAGCAGACTAAATATTTAGGCTGAGGTTGAGGTCAGGCGGGGTGGGGATCGGGGGGTTGCCTGGTAATTCCAGACCAAAGAAGTGTGTGTGGAGCTTCAGTGAACTAACCCCTCACCGACCAGGATTGGCAGCACCGGCAGAATAGGCGGGGCATTAGAACCCAGGGGAGGAATCGGTCAAGAACCTAGTCGGTGATAGAGGGACACTCAGGAGGGGGCGTGGCCGGATAATACCCTACTCCCTCTATCCGCAGGAGGTTGAAAGGGAAAATCTAACCTAGCACTCTGGGAGGCCAAAGCGGGTGGATAGCTTTAATTCAGAGAAGTTGCAGACCGCCTGAGCAAATAGAAACCCCCATCTTTACTAAATATAGAAAAACTATCTGGGAGTTGTGGCGGGCGCCTGAAGTCCCAGCTGCTTCCTAGGCTGAGGCAAGAGAATCATTTGAGCCCAAGAGTTTGAGGTTGCTGTGACCTATAATGACGCCACGGAACTCAACCTAGAGCGAAGGAGTGAGACTTTCTCAAAAAACAAAAAACAAAAAGAAAGAAGAAGGAAAGAAAAAAAAAGGGACCTGGTGGAATAGCGGGGGCGGGGTCTGGACTTCTAGAATGGAGTTTAGGCAGGTCTGTACAGTGGGCTATCCTACTTCTAAGAATAAAACATGGAATAAAATTGGGGAAGGACAGGAGAGGGCAGGGCTGAAAATTCCCCAAGGGAAGGCTTAGTGGAGGACTGAGGTGGGGCAATAAGGGGTCTGAGTGTGAGAGAGGGAGGCTCAGTGGGTGGAGCAGGCCATGGTCTGACAGGCACAGGGTGATAGGAGTCGTGGCCTCACCGTAGCCAGGCGTGTCTGCTCCAGCTGTTGCAGGCTGCGGACGTGGCTAGCGAGCAGTGGTTGTGCACGAGGACCAGCTAGCTCTGCTTCCACCGCCAGTACCTCCCGGGAGGCGGCGGCGAAGGCCTGGGTCACCTCGTGCACTGTGCTCCGGTAGCTCGGGAAGTCGTAACAAGGGCCGCTGCGCAGGTAGTGGAGGTGGCCTCTGCGGTAGATGGGGGTTCTGAGGCGGCGCCCCCAGATTTTCCGGCCTTGCACCCCTATGACTACCTGAAAGGTCCCCCAGACCCTACAGAGTGGAAGACTGGCATCGAGGCTGCTTGCTTCCTGACTCACGCAGAAGAACCCGAGACAGACCTTACTCTGCGCTTAGTAAGGAGAGACAAGCTACACAAAGTGGGCCATCGGGTAGCGGGAACTCGCTTTGGGTCTTTTCTTAGGAAAGTGAGAATCTGGTCTTCCTCCCTTGCCCCCCGCTACCCCCCAGCAATCCTTGTCCCACCTCCGACACTGCGCTGCTGAGGAACTTTAGCCCCACCCGACACGCCCATCCTGGGAGTCGGCCAGGAGCTGAACCAAATGCCCCCTATAGGTCCCAGCTCTGGTACTCACTGCTCCAGTCGGCGGAAGGCCTCCGCGCGCTCAGCTTGCAGCTGGTGGATGCGCTGCACCAGAGTCCAGATAGGGGCATCTTTCTGGAGGGCGGGGGGACACGGCTGAGGAATGAAGCCGACACTCCTCGGCCTGCGCTGCCCACCCCCACTCGTGCCCAGGCTCACCCAGGGCCACGCTGGATCCTCCCGCCCTGGCTCTTCGGTGGCGACCGCGACACTAGGCACCGCAAGGACTACCGACTCTGTCAGGGTTTCAGCGGTGATCATGACTGCGAAACTTGATCTACACTCTGGAGCAGGCCCGTCTGCTGCGCCCGCTGCCCCCTGCAGGCTTGGAGGTCTACGGTCCTCAGACTGCAGCCAGGCAGCCCGGAATCCCGGAGAAAAAAGGGGGAGATGGCCCGCTACACAAATCCTCCACTCGTCCTCGTTTT